ATGAAGTGAAATATATATTTGACTTTATTAATCTGGTTTTCAGTTCTTTCTGTAAATGTTTCAGAATTTAATTTTGAATGCTTGGAGGATACATTTTTGCATGTTAGTTGACTATTTAAATAAATCATACTCGAGGAACCATTCCTCGCTTCTCGAGGAATAACTTACACTTAGGAGAGGAATCTTGTGACGACGTTTCGGTCCGTTCTGGATCACCGTCAAGTCACAACTCAGCGAGAAAAAACGAAGACCAGAAGACAGGAAGGGGGCATGGAGAAACGTTAGAGAGTAGGCCTACAGAGGCCCTCTGAGGCCTTATCTGATTGGAAGATACAAAGGCGTACTGCCGATAGCAATGAAGAATAGACAGAGGTCAAATATAAGCTTTCATTGTGAAACGTTTAGTTTCATAAATCTCTACAAAGAGTGAAACGTTGTCATAATAAGAATTTGAATTGCACTTGCGTCTTTTTCATTACTGATTGGAACTACACGAAATTAATAAATTTGAAATATATTTCATTCACTGTTTGGCCACAGGACTGATGTTCTTTCCTCAGATATCATGTATTGCTTTCAACATTGCTCTAAAATTAGCAAATACATTGGTGTGTCCACTTAGTGTAGTCATCTAACAACTCTAGTACTGTGCCTCATTGATCCAAAGTTACGTCTAGAAGTGACAATACTAGAATCAAAGGTTTATGTGAAAAGCGCTGAACACGTAGGAATTCATACAACGTTTGATCCGAGGAGGAGGATAGCATATACTAGAATCAAATGACGAACGGGAAAAATATTTTGTCTCGGGTACGCTTTGACAAGCAATTGTGCATTCCTTTGCACTACATTTGTCTCTGTTGGTCTTGATGAGAAGATTAATGTCTCCTCCCAATGAGAGTGCCGCAGTAAATTCTGCCTTCGTTACTGGTGTACTCTTCCGTGAACTTCATGGACTCACAGAGCTCTCACCGTTGGAAGTGAATCCGAGATTTTCCATCGCTCATCTTCATCACACCTTTGTAATCTATGAATTCATAATTTTATAGATTCTCTTTTGTCTTCCTCGTCATTTTGTTCTCCCTGTCTTCCTATGTGTCTGTTCCATCGTCCTGTGGGGTCCACTGCTCCACTCACCCAAGGCCAGCTTGTGTATGGGTCATCTTCACGAAGTGAAGGTTGACGGGCCACGCTAATTCGTGGTAGACTTAATGAAGCTCAATCCTTTGCAAAATATCATGTGTTGAAGGACCGCTTGAAATTACGTCTTCATGCTAACCGTCCAGCATGTTATGATAAATTGATCTGATTATTTAAGAGCTCATCGTCTCTATTTTCGAGCTCTTCCAAACTCGCTGTTATGTTGAGTCAGCTTTTCCCTGAGAGTGAAATCTTTAGTGTGGATGTTGTCTATGTCCTTTAATCAGAGGCGGATCTGATATATCGAATTTAATTGCCGCGGTCTTGTTCCATCTCCCTTCTCCTTATAATTGCCCTTTGGCTTCAGCATCTACAGCTTTATTTCCCGTGTTTGCTTTAAGCTGCCGTACAGCGCTCAATATCTTGAAGATGAACAGAAAATCTTAGATAGCTAGCATCAGTGATAGAGTGATCAAACTGTCAACAGTGAACAGAGCAAATCCACAACTGCCACCACCCGGAGGTAAGTCCAGCTGATGTGTAGCGTGTCCGCCAAGTCCTTATTCGATTTCATTTTTTACAACAACGTAGTAAAAGAAATGAAAATGCTGTTCTTTGCATACGACAGCGTAATGGGCTGATGGACTGGACATGAGGGATCCCATTAAAGACCCTTTTCATTCTTCCCAATGGTTCCCTGATATCACGCCTTTAGGGTTCTGGTGGTGGGTTTGTGAAGGACTGTTTTACAGATGTCAGCAGCAGACATTAGAACTCTCTGTATTAAAGTATATGATAGCATAGAGAAATTCACACCGGATATGTTGGATAATACCTGGAACTGCACTGGAGTGACTATTAGACGTGTTACGTCATTAGATGTGCGCTGCTTGAGGTGACAAAGTAGAAAACACTGAAGACGTACAGAAAAAACCCAAAGTACCACCCCGCTGCCAACCCACTACCACTCCCTGCTGCCCCACTACCACCCCGCTGCTACCCCACTTGCACGCCGCTACCCCACAACCACCCCCTGCTACCCCACTACCACCCCGCTGCTACCCCACAACCACCCCCTTCTACCCCACTACCACCCCGCTGCTACCCCACTACCACGCCGCTACTACCCCACTACCACCCCCTGCTACTCCACTAACACACTATCTACACTACTTCTTACCAGCCACACTACCCTACCAACACCCACACTATCCCACCACCACCCACACTACCCTGCCACCAACACCTACACTACCCCACCCACCACCAACCTACACTACCCCACCACCCCCCGCACTACCCCACTAACACCCAAACTACCCTGCCACCACCTACATGACACTACCACCATCCACACTACTCAACCACCACCCACACTACCCCACCAACACCCATATAACCCCCACCACCACCCACACTAACCCCACCAACACCCATATTACTCCACCACCACCCGCACTACCCCACCAACTCCCACACTAACCCCACCACCACCCACACTACCACCAATCACCACCCACACTACCCCACCACCATCCACATTACCCCACCACCCACACTACCCCACTAACACCCACACTACCATGCCCACCCCACACTCCCCCACCACCCCCACACTACCCCACCACCATCCACATTACCCCACCACCACCCACACTACCCACCACCACCCACACTGCCCTACCACCACCCATACTACCCTACCACCACCTACATAACACCACCACCCACACTACTCAACCACCACCTGCACTACCTCACTAACACCCACACTACCCTGCCATCACCCACATAACCCCACCACACCCACACTACCCGCCACCACCTACATGACACCACCCACTACCCCACCAACACCCACACTACCATATCACCACCCACACTACCCCACCACCACCCACACTACCAGCCACCAACACCCACATTACCCCACCCACCACAACCTACACTACCCCACCAACATCCACACTACCCTGCCCCACCTACATGACACCACCATCCACACTACTCATCACCATCACACTACCTCACTAACACTCACACTACCCTGCCACCGCCCACACTACCCCACCAACACCATTATTACTCCACCACCCGCACTACCCCACAAACATCCACACTACCCCACCGCCTCCCACACTAACCCCACCAACACCCACACTAACCCACCACCATCCACACTTCCCCATCACTACCGCTCACACTACCCCACCACTATCCACAGTACCCCACCATCACCCACACTATCCTATCACCATCCACAGTACCCCACCAAACACCCACACTACCCCACCACCATTCACACCTCCCCACCACCACCGCTCACACTACCCCACCACCATCCACAGTACCCCACCGCCACCCTCGCCACTAACCCACCACCATCCACAGTACCCCACCACCACCCACACTATCCCACCACCACCCACAGTACCCCACCACCACCCCACTATCCCACCACACCACACTATCCCACCAACACCCACTTTAACCCACCACCACCGCTCACAGTATCCCACCACCTCCCACACTACCTATCACCACCCACACTACACCACCAATACCACACTACCCATGCCCTACCCACACTACCATGCCACCACCCACACTACCCACCACCACCACCCACACTACCATCACCACCCACACTACCACCACCCACATACTACCACCACCCCACGTACTCCACCCACCCACAGTACTCCACCACCACCCACTATCCCACCACACCACCACTACCCCACCACCACACCCCCACACTATCCCACCAACACCACCACCACCCTATCACCCATCCACACTACCCCACACCATCCACACTACCCCGACACATCACATCCCACACATACCCCGACACCATCCACACTACCCCGACACCATCCACACTACCACACCACCACTCTCACTACCCACCACCATTCACACTACCACACCACCACTCACACTACCCCACCACCATCCCACCATCCACATTACCATCCACATTACCCCACCATCACCCAAAGTACCCCACCACCATCCACACTACCACACCACCGCCCACACTACCCCACCACCATCCACACTACCCCACCATCACCCAAAGTACCCCACCACCATCCACACTACCACACCACCATCCACACTACCCCACCATCACCCAAAGTACCCCACCACCATCCACACTACCACACCACCATCCACACTACCCCACCATCACCCAAAGTACCCCACCACCATCCACACTACCACACCACCATCCACACTACCCCACCATCACCCAAAGTACCCCACCACCATCTACACTACCCCACCAACACTACCCCACCTCCATTTACATTACCCCACTACCGCCCACATTACCCCACCACCACCCACACTACCACATGGACGGAGGCGTGGTGAGGTGGGCGGGTTAACTGATGACAGAAGGTTAAGTCAGAAATAATTTTCATTAACTACCATAAGTTCTTATAAAACTGACTTCTTAAAAGAGGAAAATATATGATTTAAATTTTTGTTCGGCTGATGCTAAAATAACACCAAAAACCGTAAATATAATTATTTGTTGCCATATAGAAGGTGTCCAGAGCAACACCCACCGCCATGACGTCAGCAATGGACGGAATATCAACGAGGTCGGGCGGGGAGGAGCCAAGGAGGAGCAGTGGGGAAGACGGGGTGGGGTAGGGGAAGAGGGAGGATGGGTTTGAGGAAGAGGGCGGGGGATAGCCAGGTGTAGGCTGTGAGCAGGTGGGATGGGCGGGGAAGGGCAGGTAATGGGCGGGTACGGGCGGGGAGAGAGGGAGAGAGGCGTGATGGGCAAGAGAAGGGGCGGGGCGTGACTACCTCTACAGGTATATATACAGGTGCCGCCGCTCTGCCCCGTCCACTTCGCGTTGGGTCCAGAGTCTGCACGCACACGCACCCCAGCAGCAGCAGCAGCATCCCGGCTCCCTCTCCTGTCTCCCGTACAGCAACTCAACTCAGGTAGGTGACGAATAGGGCACAGCTGGTACCTGCTGCGCCTCCTCCTCGCTCTCCATGTACTTAAGGCCTTTGACTGAGCGCCTTCGGAAGTTCTTCCACCTCCTGGAGCGTTGTGTTCACCCTCAGGAAAGGTGTGTCCTTCAGCTTTCAGGAAAGATGTGCCCTTTAGTTTTCAGGACATGTAAGCTCTTCGGCTTTCAGGAACGGCGAGAACTGCAGCTTTCAACGTCAGTTTCATAAGCCGTATTGTACTTTCATAATAGTTTAGTAAGTAGGTGTCTGGGAATATTGGGCGGAGAGACAAGAATAAGGACCCTAAATGAAATGTTACACTGTCTACCTTTCGTGGGTTATCTTGGTTAATGATCCTTCGTAGTTAATAATTAGAAAAAAAAGTGTTCTTTAATGTTATAGCTACTGCTGTTACTTACACGTGGTGGTGGGGCCTGCTTCCTGGTGTAGGTGCTGCTGTTACTTACACCTGGTGGGGCCTGCTCCCTGGTGTAGGTACAGCTGTTACTTACACGTGGTGGTAGGACCTGCTCCCTGGTGTAGGTGCTGCTGTTACTTACACCTGGTGGGGCCTGCTCCCTGGTGTAGGTGCTGCTGTTACCTACACGTGGTGGGGCCTGATTCCTGGTGTAGGTACACAGCTCGTGAGGTTCATAATGAAGGCTGAGGAACTTCAACGCCTTCCGGTGACTAGAGCGGCTTCCGGTCCTTTCATCTTCTCCAGAGATTTCTTTCATCTTTTCTTGTTCCTTGTATTTTCATTTTTTCTTGCGTCAAAGAGATTTCTCTGTTCATTTAACTTACGTTTGTCTCGAGTAGTCTCTGCTCGACCTCGCTCTCGTACTTGCTCGCCCTTACTCGTACTCGCTCTCGTACTTTTCATTAAGTTGGTCTTAATTTCCAACGCCATAGTACAACAAATATCGTTAATACGCTATCTTCCTTACGTAATAATAACGTACAAAACGTTAGTTACGTAATCATACAGAAAAACGAAAGGAGGCATCGATATCAGTTGACTCAATAACCTATTAGTTTTGTTACTTAAGATAATTGCATGTTAGTATTTATGCTAGTTGCGTCACTCTCCGCCTTCGCTAGTATCAGATCATGTATATTACACTGTTCGCGCACCCTACCCTGCAGCGTTATATGACCCTGGTAGGTTTAGCGCTTGGTTTTGATAATAATAATAATAATGCTACTTACGAAATATTCAGTACAGTATTAACTTAAAACACGTGATAAATATGGTTTAGTATTATACCAAAGCCTGGTATTATTGTATTATGTGCTTTTGGATTATTCTCGTGCGCCTTGCAAGGTATTCCCGCAGTGTGTGTACTCGTTTATGGTTGCAGGGGTCGAGTTTTAGCTCATTATATACATATACATTATATATTATATATATATATATATATATATATATATAATATTATATATAATATATAATATATATATTTATTGTGTGTGTATAAAACAGAAATACGTACAGGTGGTATATATACCAACACAATTTATGTTGAACACATACCAACAGCATGAAAAGTATATTAACGTATTCAATACGGGTTGGTGTCCAGGTGAGAGGTTATCATCTTTCTGGGTGCAGCCGTCTCTGACCTCCAGTGTGAAGAGCGCGTCTCTAGCACTCTTGATGACCCTGCCTGAAGGTCACACTGCTGACGGGGTGAAGCCAGTCACACATGCGGCAGAACAACACTTTTAGGGTTACGCTAAGTTTGTCAGGAAACAGGACAAGGGTTTCCTGACTGAGTCTTTTTTTTATGGGAAAACCTGTTTCGGTTTCGCCTCCTTTTTAGGCGATACGTTATTTTGCTGAACGTTTTTCTGTTACATATTACCCTGACGTGCAAGGTTAGTTATAGCTTTTAAGTGTGTGTTAGGACATTTTCTTTTTATTCAACAGAACTGGATACATCAGCAGTGTACTGTTACGTTGTTCTACATAAGCGTTACACAGTGGGAAGAAACATTAACAAAGTTTCCCCTACTCGCATTCCATCATGCAGGATGAGATCAGACAAGGTGTTGAAATTTGTCAGCCTGAGCTGACAAATTTCACTAGTCTATCGTCTCAATACCAGTCATTAGTATATCGTCTCAGAACCAGTCATTAGTATATCGTCTCAGAACCAGTCATTAGTATATCGTCTCAGAACCAGTCATCAGTATATCGTCTCAGAACCAGTCATTAGTATATCGTCTCAGAACCAGTCATTAGTATATCGTCTCAGAACCAGTCATTAGTATATCGTCTCAGAACCAGTCATTAGTATATCGTCTCAGAACCAGTCATTAGTATATCGTCTCAGAACCAGTCATTAGTATATCGTCTCAGAACCAGTCATTAGTATATCGTCTCAGAACCAGTCATTTTGTATATCGTCTCAGAACCAGTCATTAGTATATCGTCTCAGAACCATCATTAGTATATCGTCTCAGAACCAGTCATTAGTATATCGTCTCAGAACCAGTCATTAGTATATCGTCTCAGAACCAGTCATTAGTATATCGTCTCAGAACCAGTCATTAGTATATCGTCTCAGAACCAGTCATTAGTATATCGTCTCAGAACCAGTCATTAGTATGTCGTCTCAGAACCAGTCATTAGTATATCGTCTCAGAACCAGTCATTAGTATATCGTCTCAGAACCAGTCATTAGTATATCGTCTCAGAACCATATTAGTATATCGTCTCAGAACCAGTCATTAGTATGTCGTCTCAGAACCAGTCATTTGTATATCGTCTCAGAACCAGTCATTAGTATATCGTCTCAGAACCAGTCATTAGTATGTGTCTCAGAACCAGTCATTAGTATATCGTCTCAGAACCATCATTAGTATATCGTCTCAGAACCAGTCATTAGTATATCGTCTCAGAACAGTCATTAGTATATCGTCTCAGAACCAGTCATTAGTATATCGTCTCAGAACCAGTCATTAGTATATCGTCTCAGAACCAGTCATTAGTATATCGTCTCAGAACCAGTCATTAGTATATCGTCTCAGAACCAGTCATTAGTATATCGTCTCAGAACCAGTCATTAGTATATCGTCTCAGAACCAGTCATCAGTATATCCTCTCAAAACTATTAGTATGTCGTCTTAGTACGTCACTAGTCTATCGCTTCAGACAGTATTAGGAACTAGTCGATCGTTATCTTAGACAATGCTGATTTATCGTCATAGTACTAGTCACTTGTCGACAATATATCTCATATTAGTCACTAGTCGACCGTCTCATATCTAGTCTATCGCCTTAGTACTAGTTACTAGTCTATTGGTTTAATCAACAATAGCCACTAGTTCTTCGTATCAGTGCTAGTGTGGGTTGATATAATTTACGTGAGACAGCGGAATCTCTTCACCCTAAAAGTAGGGAGAACTTTGTTTAACTCGTTCTTTCTCAGCGTCTTGTAATTAAAGCCAGAAGAAAAAATGAAGATTTTCACCTTTTAAAGATAACAAAGTAAGTCAGTGTTGCAAAATATATTACGCATTGATGCCTAAAAGAGACAAGTATGCATTGTAATCATGGAAACGTTTACCCCGACCAGAGCGAAACGTTTCCACAATGAAGTTACCTGACGTTGCATAAGTTGTCGCATTTGTACATATGGTAAGTTAAAATTAATGTATTAGTTTGATGTTTTGGGTAACTTACGGAGAAGGATGTTGAAGCTAGTCCCATGTAATAGCAGACAGGATGATGCTACTGAATTTTTGCTATCTGAAGAGAGACAGAATTAGGGAGGGATATGGCTGTAATGTACAAATAGAAATTCAAAATGAATTAGGACGATGTAATTGAAGTGTTAAGAATATCTAATCTTGACGGGACTCACAGCAAAGGATTGAAATTGGATTACGTTAAGAAAAACACTGATTTAGCAAGTGTTTTAGATAAGTGAAGCAATTTAAAGTAGCGTCATAAAAACGAGTTCTTTGAGTAACTTTAAAAGAAACTAGCATTGTTAGGGTTGTCTATTCTGTAACAGTTGTTACATGGGTTGGTGTACACTCTTGCTGTAGTTATGTTAGTGTTTTTTCTGTCTGGCGATAATTTGATGGTAGAAGACGCAGCGGTGTGTTAAGTTTGCTGTTGTAGAAGTGCTAGATATTTTTTGCAATAGTTGCTGGGAAGAATTTAGTATCTTTGTTAAATGGTGTCGAGTCAGGGAGAACTGGTGAGGTTTTTGACATGTCGCCTGTAATCCCTGATGAAATGTCGAGAGTAATCTAGCTTAGTAAAAAATATTTCAAGAAAAATGTTTCGTCTTCAAGTAATCTACTGTAGACGCGGAGAACTCTCAAGAAAAACCGGCAAGAACACCACGTTTATACAAATAACCCGCACACAGGAGACGGGACCTTACAACAACTTTGTCAGTGGTCCAAGTCGGACTGAAACGTCTTGGTCAGCTACTCTCTCCTAAGTGCAGGTTCTTTGTGCATTGCTCCAGTCACTGTATTGTGCCTTTTTGTTCATAATAAACACCATGTTTAGTCTTGGTTTCAAAGAACGAATGAAGTGGTTGGTGGGTTTCCGATAAACCTTGACCAAAATTCGTTGCTAAACATGCAGAGTAAAACGTCTAAGAAATTGTATCATTGGTTCCCTTCAAGTACAAAGTTTACCGAGGGTTCGACTTGGTCGAGTTTACGTTGGCGGGCAGAGACGTCAAGTGACGGAAGAAGTGATAGAGGGGGAATATTCAGTGTCTAGATTTTTCCATACAAAGGTACACTAAGACTGAATTTAAAGGGGAACCCATAGGGCTGTTGGTAGAGTCTTCGGAGAAACAATGGAAACAATCACGTAATTCACTGAGGTAAAATCGATGTTAGGAACAGATTTTTTTTTTTTGGCGCAGATCAGTGGTTAACAAGACAAGTTTATATCAAGGTACCAACGTCACAACCCACTCTCTTCGTACGCGGGTCTTCACTCGCTCCCGCAGCTC